TCTCCGTCTGATACCTTGCTGCATAAAAGTTTATGAGTGCAATATCTGTGTGTGCACAAGCGCTCCCAAGCTGAGTTAACAGAACGCGCGACTGCGCGCGCAGATTGTCAAATAGGGAAACTGCGGACTGTTCCAAAGAAATGCAAATCGGTGCGCGACGTTCTAACAGACGCAGTCCAAAAAAATGAGCTCAGCTCAGGAAGCCAGGAGATGATCATCGTTAAACAAGCCGAGATGACTCGTGGTTGATTTCCGAAATTGGATTTCTTGAAGTGAGTAGTACCTCTTAAAAATTAATCAGCGTCATAATGAGGGCTACGGTTCGGGGGCGGGGGGCAGCTGGGGTGCGTACCTTTTTTCATGAGGGCACCACATCTCAACGCATGAGGGAAACTCAACGCATATTATTCACAGATTTCAAGGGGTTTTCGGTAGCTTATTTAGAAGCACTGAACAATTTAAAACTGAATCTGAATCGTATAGTCGGCAAAGCCTCCATCGGGAAACATCGCACCAACTTGAGGTTAAGTTTAGGACGTGGAGCTAGACATGTCTTTAGTAGCTTATTGTTGAGCACAAAAAGCAACGTACGAAACACCTCATTTTAATGTACAGTGATTTTTTAAAACTGTTTTGAAAATGCAGCAACGGTTTAATTCACGGCTGTGAACAGACACCCATTTATTGTAGGGCGTTTCATTCATAACTGAAGGGAAACCCCACCATTTCAAGGCTTTCGTGGCTCTGAATGGACGCCACAATGTAGGGCTTTCTTATGACTATGCGTGAAATGTTGCAAGAGACATCCCTCTATACACTGGTTATGGGTAGACATCTAAATTACTTATCTCGGGGCTTGTGGAGTGATGTGATATGTTTCAAGGAATTTCTTGCGAGGTTTTACGGCCACTCTAAAGACAATGTTATTTGGTGGCATCGCGCCGTTTTAGGAAACGATTCGATGGAATAGGCGTAGTAAATACGTAGTGTTGTGATAGAAGAATTAAATTGTATTTAATTTAGAGAAACCATTTAGGAAGATGTGGCCAATATTATATATGGCAGGTATGTTCGAACAGGACAGGCCTACGTATAACGAATTACTTTTGCCATGCCATTTTTGTAACTCGGTATTATTGCCAGTATATACACCGATATTATGCTAATGGCCAAAGAAGCACTTTTATTTTTGCTATTTCCTTTTCCAAAATTAAATTTAATGTAGACATAGGAAATAGCGTAAAATTTGCGTCACAAATAAGACGATTAATTGTAACGTGAGTTCCCAAGCAGCATAAGACGTAAAAAAATATGAACGACTTTTGAGCCATGATAGGCATTCAGCAGCGTTTGGAGCTTTTGCCGGTGAGAAGGGGGTAAAAACATTAACTATAATGACTTAAAATCCATGGGATTCTCGAGGTAATCTTCCGTTGTTAACATTCTAACGATTACGTATTATTCATTTGAATTTGTGGGAAGAATTCCATATACGAAGTTCACTGTAATATCGCGTAATTACTACAAAAGTATCCTTACTTTGATCGCTGAATGAAGATGAACCTAAACATTAAAAAAAATTTTTTTAATTACTAACCAGATGAGGAGAAAATGAAAAGGTATTTCCCATAATCAAATAAGGAGGCGAGTGCGCCACCCCAGGATCTGCTACTATTGTACCATCAATGTTCTTATAAAATGTATTCACTAGACACGCCATTGATATACTGAGATCACGCGTGGTATATTTAGAAACAAGGACCCCGGCATGTTTGGGGTCGGTTTCGTCGATGTCGAAAATTGAGGATATTAAAACGAAAGTTTAAAAACCGAATGTAATAATCATGCCCTCCTTTGACTCACTGCATTCAACCCTTAAAAAAATGTTTGCTCTAAGTATTTCGCGCCCAGCAGAATGAAAAAAAAGGGATGAAAGAAAACGCAAAAGTTATGCGGTGTTGACCAAGCATTCAGGTGCATGGACTCCTGAAATTCGCTACGAATCGCAGTTAGGCCTACCGTCTTCCATATAGGACTCTTCTGGGGTCTCGGGGTTCCCGGCCCACCACACTTCCTCTCTGCCCATCCATTTAACCCAAAAAGGGTTCGAGCGACCATGCAAGGGAGGAAACGAGACAGGCCCCTTAGTCGGCCATACGTCTCGAACCTGTACCAAGGCGCTCACCTGGACAGTCCCAGCAAAAGAGCTTAATTACCCGGTCGGCTAAGGTACTGTTGGTATTTGACGAGGGTAAATTAGAGTCACTTATAGGTACTGAATGAAAGTGAATGTTGGGAAAACAAAATAGCCACCACTGGGATTCGAACCAACAGTCCTAAGAACTGATATCACTCAGAGCTTAGCCACTCAGTCAATTCAACAGGTTGCTTTTCATCCTGCATTTTAAAGAGGAAACAAAACCATTAACTTTTACTGTACTGAATATTGCTCTGAAAAGATTAAAGTGATTGAAAACGCATCACACAGAAAAAGATACAATAAAAATGTATCGTTATAATGATCGTCAACATTAACCGGTCTCTGACATGTCTGGCAGCTTATTAATTTGTTGTGTTTGTAGCTCGTGTTTACGTGAGCAGTATTACGTGTGTGTGCGATGCTATGTTCCATTTTTGAGATAGTTCGATAGATGCAATCAGTAAACTGACTTTTATTCAATACGACGATTACAAGGGTTGAGTTTTAGTTGGTTTTCGCTGCAATAGTTCTAAGTTAAAGGATTCCAACTGGCCTCTTGTCGCCCGATACTCTCGTTAATCCATCGGTTAAAATATCTGCTACCTGGCTACAGTGTTTGGATCGTGCGTCCTGGCCAAGAGGTCTGCTTGTGGATTGTTAACCCGCAGCATTCCAGATGCAATAAGTACATGCTACCTGAGGTGTCAGAAATGGATATATATTAATGTTTTTTACTATTACAAGTTTTCCCAAATATACGTTTTTTTTATTCAATATTCAGTCGCCATTTCTTGATTTGTAATGATTGAAGGAGTATAGCTTCCAAAACGCCGGGCAAGGCATTCACGTATTGAACTATGACTAAGGAATTCAGTCGTCAAACAGACGTGGAGGTAGAAGCTCCGTGGACAGACTACTTGTACTAACCGTGAAACCACAATGAAACGTAGGCTGAGTACAGTTCCTTTGTTTGCACAATCAGGCTTCGGGTCCATTGTCCAAGGACAATAGGCCAGGCAGGCCACGCTTTGTTATAACTCCTTGGTTACCCGGAAATTGTCCAATGACAGTGAAGCCAACAAACAGCCCGTCAAATTTGAACCCATGTGAATCGTGTTATGTTGGGGGCCGGAGGAGTGACTTTGACTTAAGCACTCCTGCATGCTTGAAAGATTGTTTATCTGCAGACTGAGTCTAAATTAATTTGAGCCTGTTAGCTGGAATTAGCACCGTCAGGCTACACGAGAGAGGGTTGATTAAATTTGGACGAATTTGTCTCGTTTGTCGTCAGCTGTAACACTGAGAATTTAACGGGAACTATGAATCAGTACACACCGGTGGAGAGGCTGTGTAGCGGCTACTTCGGTTCGGATCACCGTGTCAAAGAGCGCCGTCCTGGCAGGAAAGAACGGCACGTGAAACTGGTGCCGTGTGGTAGCAAGGAATTCGCCCTGCGAGCGCTGAGCGTGTACAAGGAGATGGCCTGCTACCTGCCAAAGCACGAGAATGTGGCCAAGGTGAAGGAGGCCTTCCTCCACAGGCAACAAGGCACCGTGTACCTGTGCTCGGTGGGGAAGGAGTACGGCGGCCATCAGGCCCTGAACGAATTCCTGCTGCAGAAGCACTCGGGGCTGACGGATGACGCCTACAAGGCGATATTCCTGCAGATTACCACAGGACTATCCTACCTGCACTCCAACGACATCGCCCACAATACACTGACGTCTTACAGCGTGATCGTGACCGAAATCTATAACGGCACCGGCGTGGCCAAGCTGACCGACTACGGGTTCGCCCAGCTCTGCCTCCAGGCCACGGACGATTGCTACGATTTGGAGGAGGGCCGGTCCCTGAGCTTGATGTATGCCCTTCCTCCCGAGGCCTACCATTCCAAGTGGGGCAGGGAATTCGACAAACCCAACAGGGCAGCCGATATCTTCATGCTGGCGATGCTCTTCAACGCTGCCGCTGACCACTCCCTGTTGCCGCTGCCCAAATCCAAGAAACGCCAACGAGGTGAGGAGAACCGGGTCTTGGCGACCTTCTTGCCATTTCCCGGCTACGGGTCTGTGCCTGTGGGCAAGTTCCTTCACAACAACCCAAGCGTGGACCTGGACCACCAGCTCTTCCGTACCGTCAGCCCCGACCTGAGACGCCTACTGCGGAGGATGGCCTTGCTGGAGCCGAACGACCGTCCAGCTCCCACGGGGGTCATACAGATGCTGAACTCCTGCAAGACGATCCGGAAGCCTCCCTCTACCGAGGAAGCCGACACCAGCTCTTTCAAGGTGCCCTTGGCACCACTGATGACAGCCAACCGGAAGAGGAGGAGTTCTTCTATCCCTTTCGATCCCATGGCGGCAGGAAGAGCGTCGAAGAAGAGCAAGATGGCGGGTCCAGCCCGAGAGTGGGAGAAGTCCACCTCAGAGGCAGCGTCTAACCTCATCAGACGGGCATCACTACGATTGTCTCAGAGAGCCAAAAGTGTCAGTGACTTCCTCAACCAGAAAAAGTCCGTCAAAATCACCGACTGAAGCCAAGAGTAGTATTTCCATAAAGTGAGTCCATAATAAAAAATGTAAAATTGATCTTAAAAGGATTCAAATTCTTTTTAGTGATTAATTAAACCTATTTAAGCCCACTATTTCAACGAATCGGAGTTTCTGCAATCCATGTTTTTGTAGGTTCCATTTGTTGTCATCGTGGTTTCCTGTGTTCTGACGAGCAGTCAAAACTTGATGGACCATCTTATTTCTTTGCCGTTTTCCCTCAAGGGAAACTGTCAAGAAATTTTCATTTCCATTGGCGCAGGGCGATAGTTTTTGTTACTGAACTCAAGGAAAACTGTACACGGCCACCAATTAAAAGGCTTCCTATGCGAAATACAAGCAATCAGAGGAACGGAAAATCAAAGAATAACATGGGGTCGTCAACGTTTTGGCTAAAGTTACCTTATCCTGCTCCCACAATTTCACCTCACCATGTACATGTATTTGCATTGGCAAAAGGTCCAATAAGCTTGGGAAAACTGAAATGGTCCAGCAAAACGTTGTTCATATAGTGTAGGTCTATTAAAGAGTTGTTTGCATTTATAGAATTCGATAATCGTGGTGGCGGGACGTGAACTCTTTCCAATTCCTCCGTCTGTTAGCAACCAATGCTCGATCTAGTTGTTAAGCAGAATAACCATCACTTTTCTTCCAAATGTCTCTTCAGATTCCAAGACCCCGGGTGGACAAGCTGAACCCAATGACGCCCAATTGGACAGAAATAACACCAAAGACAATGTCCGTCAAGAATTATTCTGAAATAAATGGACTGACTACTTTGCTGTAAATAAAAGGTCGCAATAGGATAAAGCTAAGTGGTTTAATTAAAAATCTGTAAAATAAGAGCGCCCGCATGTGGCGGAAATTCAGTGTCTGGTTGTAGATTGAACTGTCTTATCCTTTCACATTATTTACTTGTGGTCGTTTGTGTAAAAATGTGGCAATTTCTGATATGGCTCAAAATGTGGTAATTCTGGAATGTCCTCAAAGTAACACTGGGAAAATAATTTTCTAGGGCAAGATTTGATCAGATAGGTTGATTTGGAAGAGTTGGTATCATCGTCGAAGTCTTGGACGTTTTCACAGACTGGGCTTATTTCCTAAACATGTACCTGTGAGTACATGTATACAATGTATACAACATTTCTGCTCAAACGATGAGCACATGTACTCCTTAATACTTGGTGGAAACATGTTTTACATTCGAAGTCGTATAGAAACGTCATAGACCTATGTACAGCTAGCGTTACCAGGTTTTAAAGTACTCGGCGGAGTTTGTACATAAAAGGGTAGACTCTCGTTTCACTTCAAAATGTGTCATTTTTAGATACCTTTTTTGACGAAGGATGGGTGTATATAAAAGTAAAATTAAATGCATGAAAAGAGTTATCTAAGATTGTACAAACATTTTAAAATGTGGGGTAAATCCTAAGTAAAGAGTGGAGGTTTCCATGAGTAATTTTGGGGTAGCGCTGATTTTTTTTTTTTTAGAATGGTCTGTTATGCGTGCTTAATGTAAAAGAACAATTTCAATCACACCATTTGCAATTGCTCTCATTTAAGTATTCTTTTTAAATTGTGACGAAATTAGCACAAAGTAAACACTAGTGACGGCATGTCGCTCGCGAAAAAGAAGCCAAAGACAAGATTTTGTTTGTACATGTACATACATGATGAAATTACAGCACACAGCTAGCTGTGAAGCTTTTGTGGTTCGTTTAATACTGGTATCGAAACTGGCATTGTTTGGAGTGACGGTCCTCTGAAATTGTAGGTTCACAATTAGTCTTTCTTTGAGATCTTTTGACAACTGCAGTTTTTTGTTGGTTCAATTTCTTCCGAAATGCATGTACATGTATTCTTTATTTGAAAGGACGTGTTCTTGCAAATGACGGTACATCTGTGCTGTGCGTTTGGCAGATTGAATTTGTGTTCAACTCGACTTAGCCTCGTGGAATAGAACACTCCATCTGTAAGCTCATGGGATTCTTCTATCTGGTGCACTTAGTAAACACTGTACACAAGTATATCCAGGTAGGATCATGTATATCAAATGACAAATGTAAATCTCCAAACTCAGACAGCCAGACAAGAAAATGTGCGGAACAGCTGATCATTTTATTGTCTTCATTTCATTTGTGCATGCAGCATTTAAACCTTTACTGCTTATTTACTGTGTCAGTATTCCAACCACATCCACTGCAAAATACATGTGCATCTACAGTCATTTGCAAAAGTTTAAGACCACCTTGAATTTGATTGGTATTTCTGTCACTGGGCCTGCATTACATTGTCTCACTGAATGATTACTTAACATGATTTTACAGTGGTGCATAACACCAGTGTAGTGCTATATACCCATTTGAATAATTTTTTTTGCAAAGGCAGGTCTTGTTTGACATTTTATCTGCAAGGCAGCTTGGGTAAAAAAAAGCCAGTCTAAGCAATCAGAAATAAGGGGGGTGCACACTGAATATTAGACTGTTGACATGTCAAATCATAAAATGTAGTCAAAAATGTTCAACCAAGGTACCAAGGTTACACATTGAAAATAAACATAAATTGCCGTGATTGACTGGTTTAAGTTTTCTATGCATTTTCTATGGGTAGTCCTGAACTTTTGCAAGTCTGTATAACCATACGGTTAGGTTACCAAAAAGGACCACACTATTTGTATGCTAAAACAGAAGTGAAGTTTTCCTCTTTTAAAGATGAGGGGTAATTAAAATATATATATTTTACATATCTCCTGTACTGTAAATATACATTTGGGACTTGTGCTATCAAACTGTCGTAAATATTTCACACATTGTGTCCTTTTGCAGCATAAGCACAGAAATATACCAATATACATAAGAACACCACACAGAATGTTACATTATCCTTCAAAATATAGAGTTTTCAGATTGATTAAAAATTAATTTAAAATGAATAAAACAAAAAGTGTTAATTTCCCGAGAGACATGCTAGCCAAAATACTGCCAACAGGAACAATCAATGGTAAAGGTGCTTTTCTCCACTTGTCAAAAGTGACCCATCAAGCTTGAAATAATGAAGAAAATTAGTTCCAGAACATTATCATAAGCTTTTAAGTGAGCTTATAAATGAAAAAGATATGGCCCCTTTAGAAGAATTCGATAATACTGGGAAAATGATTAGTCGGGAGAAAGAGAAGCTATTTGGAAAAGGACGCACTTGCAAAAACAATTAATGCAATTAATTGTTCTGTAGGCTCCATTTATCTAGTCCTTGCTTTGCCAGTACAGCCTCTCTTTCATCCTCATCCATGCACAGCCACCACTCAACTCCTGACTTCTCACACTTACTCGAATCAAGCGGGACAACTTTGCCAACATTCTGACTAAAAATGTCCCAATGAAGTGGGGTAGCACAGACTCCACGCACAGACGCCAGTTTGTCTCTGTATATGTATTTGTTGTGTTCCCTCCCACCACAGCTATTAAAACTGTTATCATGAGAGAATTTCCCCATGTGAAAACTACCCCCATCAATTAAGACCAACCTGTTTAGCCCCGCCCCCCCACATGTCCGCTGTGATTGCTTCTGCAGTGAGCAATACCCCGTACCCTTGATTCCCATTTACAGGATTATATCCACACGTGCAACTAACTAGTGCTGAGTTGAAAGACTATTAACTAATTAGCCCCATCTTCCCACAAACCACCAGGTTCACAAGCACCTAAGCTACTGATCATGAAGACATGTCTAATCAGCAGAAGGAGGCCATGTGCAACAGAGGCATCAGAATTTACTGCTGCTTCTCTTGACTGTGTTTATGAAGCCCTGTGGGGTACCAGAACAATAGGAAGTACCCCACAAGGAACATTCATTGTCCCTGTGGGGTACCAGAACAATAGGAAGTACCCCACAAGGAACATTCATTGTCCTTGTGGGGTACTTAAAATGGTACCCCACAAGAACTCCACAAAACTGATACATGTATTTGGAATTTACTCACAAATACGGCATTTTCAAATTGTCTTTATTGAACTGAAATTGAAGTGTTTTATACAACGGATGTTCGGTCGAAAATTTAGCCAAGGAAAATGATTCAAGACCAAATACACGAAGAAGCAATTTGAATACTGTACTTCACAAACAAATTTTTACTACGTGAGAACAAAGGAATTTCCCCACAAGAGTACAAATGTAAGAATGTGTCCGTGGAGGGGTGCGGTCGTGGATGTGCCCAAGATTCTCATACATCAAAGATGTAGACCTAGCTCAGCATGACATTTTCTGACTATGCCTAACAAACTGGCACCTGCCAAAGGAACTACATGTACGAACCACTTAGTGCTTTGGGCACGTTCCACAGTTCCATGCTACACAACCTTAAATGCAAACTGCATCTATGCTGCCCCATAAAGAGTTCTGGCAAGGCAGGGGTTGAAGACTACATGGGTGTGTTTAATAAGATGTCACCAAGAAATGGCAGGACATTTTTATAGCATGAGAAGTGATTTCCAACACCCTGTGATATGAGATGCAATGTTTTGGTGAATGTAAATTGTCACAATCATGACTGAATATTTGCAGTGGATAAGATGTCCCTTAGATTTTATGTTAACTTGAGAAAAAAAGGAGGAAATGGCAAAATAACACTTAAAATGGGGTAAATTGGACAACAATGTGCACACAAGAACTGCATTACAACAGTTTTTAGCATGGGGCCTTTAGAATCTTCCACCAAAAGCATGGAGTACTTAAGTAAAACAGGAATATGTTTGATTCATAAAAAGAAACTCCAATTTGGATACCCATTGGCAGTATTAAACAAACAAATGAAATAAAAATGAGGATTTCTGTCAGTAATTGGAAAGTCCATTGTTGCAAGGGATCAGTAGGTGTTGCACAGAGGTGTCATATTTTTGTATACACAAACACCAATCAATACGTTTTCCCTGCAGTGACCAATCAACACAGCAGCATGACCCAACAAAGTCAAATTTAGCATGGAAAATGCCAGGGCCTTCACTCTAAAGACACCATAATTTTTCAGGCCAGTTCTTTTTGGATTTGTGCACAGGGTGTCAACTGATGCCAGGGTATGGAACTCGTTCTCCATGTCTTTGGAACAAGCAAACATTTTCTGAAATTCAAATCCCTCAGCAAAACGTTATATTTCCTAACATTCAAAGCACGGGTCTCCGTAGCACTATTCAAGTAGATAGTGTCATTGAAATAATCATTCACACGCGCACACACACACGTTTATGTTACATACCTACTGTGGACATTCCTTTGTTTTCATGCAGTTAAGAAAACTCAAATGAAAATACTTGTTTTTCTTCAACCAGGAACAAGATTTTTTGGCGTTTTTTTGGGAAAAGGTTTCCTTGACTATTCCTCTTCCTTTCACCACGGATGACCCCTACCCCAAAATGCCTCTAAACCCCTTTTTCCCAGAGAGGGGGAACCTTGTGTGGACATGTGCAAGTCCACACAATGCCATCGTACCCTACATTATGTGGACTTCTTTTGTGCAGAGGTCCACACTATGTATGACACGTCTGTACACCAATGCACACCAACGATTGCTGAATGTTGAATGTGATTTAAATGTGGCTGCCCAACTGTCTTTTCCAGATTCCAGGCAGTAACTTGTATTTAGGGGAAGGGCTACATCCTGACAGTCAATGTCAAACAGAAACAACAAGTCTACAACTATGAAACAAACTATCTAAGGAAACTGACTTGGTGCTTACGAGTTTAAAACTAAATCATCCCCCATACCACCACATCCTCTTTCCATTAAATTTCTTCTGCAAATGTTGTTCCAAACATTTTTGTTATTCTCACAAAATGCAGGAAGAGGATATCGCTGAATCACAAACAGCCCCAAAGCAAAACACAACAACCCCACACTCTCCCCAAACAACACAACAACCACACACTCTCCCACCCAAAAAACCAACAAGCCCACACTCCCCCCTAAAACCCCAACACAAGTTAAATGTCACAAATTCAATCTGTCTTGATAACTGATGTCTACAAGAAAAGTAGTCAATAACAAAATAATGATTGCATTTATAAAGCTATATATCCGAACACAATACTGACTGATGCATTTTTATAGAAAGTTAAATAACCCTTGAAACTTCCATTGCATATCAACATAAAACTAATACAAAAACTAAAGGAGAAAAAAGTTGTTTGAAAACATCTCTCAAACTGAAATCAATTTTCCAGTAATGTCAAGTGGTTGAAGAATGACGTATATCATCATCAAGACTGGAAACCATACAGGGTTTTGGAAAAAAAATTGGTTTGATAATTATGCAAAGGACCTTGATAACGATTCAGATATATGCAGCTCCCCCCCTCGCCAACTCCTGCAGAAAAGTTGAATTGCAGGACGGAACAACTTTCCATGAATAGAAACTGCAAACATGAAGAATGAGCATCCATCTTGGTCCATGACTGACTGACACACCGTTGTGAAAGGTAATATGTACATTTATTGTGTTTCCTATACATTACATTAAAAAAGTAAGAACAGTATAGAACAAGATCAAATAAAGTGGGTGCAAGTTTGCTAGAGAAACTAAATAGCTTTCCCCGTAAAGGATGAAGAGTGGATGTAGATTAGTTAAATGATGAAGTGATAAAAAGGGGAAACCCTTTCAGAGAATAAAACAGAATTCTATGACTCCGTCCAGAGATTTTGATTTCAAATACGACAATTTGAATGGCAATAGAGTTTATTGGGATGTTACCTACGACATGACACCTCAACAACAAAACTCCTAGTCTGTACAGCCTCAAGTGTGTTCATCTACCACTGTTGGTATGCAAGAGTCTGGCCTGACTGAAAACTCGCAGAAAACATCAGCCGATGTAGCAGAAAAGCTGATTTGCAGGTTGGAAGAGGAGTTGGTGATGCCGATGTGGATGATGCAGATGGAAGGAGAATACATTGATGATAATGAGATGACGACAATGGTGGTGGTAGTTGTGTTGGTGGGTTTAGAGATGATAGAGGAGGGTTGTTGGGGCAGCACTGGTGATGTCATGGGGAATTCCCCTGACCCCCCTCCCCCATCATCACGGTTGGCAAGCACTATACTCAGCTGCTGTGATCTAAAAGGAGCCCCTAGACAAACAAAAATCACATCGGGATGGATTACGACTCCATCACAACCAAGGGATATGATCTGTGACATGTACATCAATGGTCAGGACCTGCAAGAGCATCACTTTGTCAAAAAATGAGCGACTGAAATTTCTAGAGGGGAAACATTATTTTATGCTGTTGCAAAGTGTGCAGCAGACTTGATGGGAAGAATGAAGAGAGGAAGGTTGCGATGGACTGCAGATTTTAAAGCAAAATTGAGATGCTGATGAAGATGCAAAATAGAATGGCACAAGATGCATAAAAAGGATGATAATCTATGCAATAATATAATGGATCAGCACTCCGCAGTAACGACCTGACGAGGGTCAGGGACCCAGACTTTTAATCAGTACTGCAGTATCTCCAGTATGCATTCTGCATAAAGGATGGTTTGACAGTAAAAATGAAAATACAAAAGCAAAGCTCTTCTCATGGTGATGGTCAATGTGCACACTCAAATCCAAAAGATCTAAACTGGGTAAAGATAGCATTGGACAAAAGATGAATAAGGAAAACAAGTCTTTGAAGGTAAGTTTCATACGTCTGTTAAAACAGATGCTGAGTATTGTTCCTTAAAAACACCATGATTTCAAGACTATTATACTTTTTCCTTTGAAAATATACACATCAAAAGTAACAAACACTAAATCTGATAACTGGGGGAAAGATCCCATTTGGCTATTTGTGTCCTTTTCTCCACTACAGCTTGAGCAGTTTCGTCTCATTCCCCCCCCCCAAACTCCACGGATGAGTTTAGGAGTTCTAAATTGAACCAAATAGTTCAACCAAATCAAGTAAGTATTTGACTTCTGTATAAACATGCTATCTCCCTCATGGATTTTATTATAAAATTTTATCAGTACCCACCAAGTTTAATTAATTACAACTTGAAGACCACTGTTTGTGTGTGTATATTTTTATGGCCAATTAATGCCGCATGCAGCTTCAAATATAAAAGTGTACATATCTGAAGCCAGTGTCTATTTTGATCACTTCCAGCTGCTCCTAATACCATTTGGCTCAGCATGACTGGTTCATAGCTGAGATCCGGTCTTTCCATCTAACCCAGTGGCCATTTATCTATCTTACGAATCCCTTAAGTTCAAGTACTACAGACCCACCTTACACCTTTTCCAAACTTTGATTGTACGATTGCCCAAGTCAATCTTGTTGAAATAGGCTACAAAAAGAATGGATTACTGCTTCAGAGGTGTAAATGCCGACAAATACAAGTCTCAGGATTCAAATTTTTGCCATATCAGTCAGTGCATATATTTCTATGCAGCATAGGAAAAACAATTAGAAATCTGAGTATTCTACTAATTGTTTCAATTTGCATCTTTAAAGTTCTAATTGCCTCTTCTAATGCTTTAGTAGCTTAAACATTGATTCTCACCCTGGACAGGTCCCTGTGGTTTATACTTCAGGTGGCTTAAGAATGAACTCAGTCCCAGTAGCCGTATTAGAATTTCGGACGAAATTTCACAACACTTGAAATTGTTCGCAAAGATTCAAAAGCCAGTATCACGAAGATCAAAGAACCAGTATTTAACTAAGTGGATTAATATAAGGAAAGTTAAGTGATCGTCGAGGTGAGCCATATAATACCCTGCGTGTACTAGCACTTTAGCAGGTGCGACGACTTTTGCGGTTGGAAATCATCAGCGCTGCAGTGCTGCTATGCTTCAAATCTTAATTTGCAGATTTTGTGTGGTGCGGCTTTTACTCTGCACAGCCGATATTCTGAAAATTACAGTATATTAAGACAGTAGCGCCAACTTCAGACTTTGGAACCAAAATGGTTGTTTATTATGTGTACAATAGAATATTGTCGTATACACCTTCTTGTTTGTTTCCAACAATAGCGACACTCTTGTCGCAACTCTCTGTATACATGGCTCTGTTTTGGGGATTAAACATGCCTCCAGCAACATGTCAGAGGAGAGAGAACCCTTGCAATATGGCAGTGGAGGTTTGGATACTGGGGTGGGTTACGTTTAAAATGACTTGGGGGTATTTACTCCTTTCTCGGCCATCTCCACGTTCATGGTGGCGTCATAAGACGGGGGTTCCTCGCTGCTGACCACGGGAGGTGCAGAGGGGACCATCATCAGTTCGTTTGCCATGGGGGTGTCCTCCTTGTAACTCTCCATCTGATGAGCCTGCAGTTTGGCAGTGGTTAAGTAGGTCCAGCGCTGTGGGGGAAAGTGGCCAAGACAGAAACAAACTGCACATTAAGCATCAGTGCTGAAGGAGACAGACATTGCTAATGTTACCATTATAGACTGGTTTTTGTGTAGTTTTATTAAAATGTGTCTCAACCTCACAAACTGAGTCACGAGAGTGAGCCAATTTGAAGTTTGCAGGCCTTTGAAAGAGTCTGGAACAACTGTAAATCCACAGGACCCATCAAAATCTCTTTTACCCACAAAACTGTGTAGCATGTCCACTTTCATCAGACTCCAATCTGAGTGAGACCTCAAAACAGAGAACTCAGAGTGTGCTCTTTCAGTAAATGTAAACTAGAACAAAAATTACAGGAAAAAATCTCAAAGCTTCATTTTGAGGGGTCCTGTCACACTAAACACTTGAAATATACGAATTTGATCAAATGTGCATTAGTATATCATGAAGCTGAGAAGAAAATGTGTAGTGAACCAATCCTCTTCTACGGCAAGTTCCTGGATTCTGTCATGAGCACTGATCTAGGGCATCCAGAACGTCCAGCATTACATCCCATCCAAAGGACATGTGACACTCTCATGAATGCAACAGATTTTTTGTTCATTGGGTCAGACTGATGTGCAATAACTTTGTTAATGCTATACAAATCAAACAGAGTGATCTATGCTATGTTTTAATCTTCTAGCGCTTAAGTTTGCCCCTTGGTGCAGCGAGTCTTTCTTTCTAAGTGTGAAGAGCCGAGCAGATTGGAAAGAACACAATGTCTGAAGTGCGTCTTGTACGGCTGAAGCTCGCTCTTCCCTGTTGTCAACATGCACTCGTGTATCTGCAATGGCCAAAGACCCAGACCCTACTCTAGACATAAGACGTTGAACACTGCCTCCAAAGAAGGTAAAGATTTGATTCACGAATGGGGGAAAGAGGAGTGTCAAAGGTCGCAATCGTACCTCCCGGAGTGATCCTGTTGTGGTCAGCATCTTGTAGATGAAGAAGATGGGAACCTGCACCATGGAGGCTGTAGCCATCAGCCAACCCAGAGCTTGTCCCCACGGGGGATACTCATAGTCATTGTAGATCAAAGGTGAGTAACTTACACAGCTGAAGATGAATATTCCCTGTAGAGTATCAAAGATGCTGATTTTGGTAGCTTTGTTTAAACTGTAAGCATTGCCAGGAAGATGGGGGACAGGATTGAGGTATGGGACAGCGCGGACATCCGGGCTTCTCACAAAATGGCAGGAACCAGCGAAACAGCGACCATGGCGACGTATGCACGCACCAGCCAGTCCGAGGATCCGGTTACACAATCTTTTCTTTGATCAGTACGTACGCACCTGCCCATTGCAGTTGTTTTCATTGGCACCGTGTGGTTGCTACCTGCAATTTTGTGAAACTTCCTGATGTCTGCACTGCCCTATAAGGGGCGTGACTCGGAAGATTTTCATGCAAAACGGCACACACCCAACATTAGTATTTGGTAATGCCATGCAATTTTGGTACGGGGGGGGGGCAGCCGGGATGGACAGGAAATGTCAATTAACATTTGGGGTTCATTTCATACACACTTTGACAAAGGAGTTACAAAATTCCAGCAACATTTCTGGTGCTCAGTTTAGTTTTTTTTTTGGGGGGGGGAGGGAGGGAGGCGAAATGATGAAGCTGCAAATTTGCAAGTCCTCCCTCTTGGCAGACAGGGAAAAGTTGTGAATTAGTAACGAGGAGAATCACAACACAACTTGCAATGCTGGTCTACATCACTTTACACATAACCTCACAATTAATTACTCTCTGTAAAAAAAAATTTCTGTGATCCCCCTCCACAACAGTTTCTGAAAACAGTGGGGCACCCTAATCGCCAGAAGTCTCCAGGTGCACCTCTGTAATGTGCAGATGGGGAAAAAAGTTTAAACACATTCAAACAAAAAAATTTTTTTATGCACACTCTGCATCAATCGCATACCAAGAACGGTATGTGCAACGCCTCCCTTTCCAAGCTTATAATAGAGCAGGGTGGGGAGGGGTCAAGTGGTTTCCAGTAAGAGGGGGCTGGGATCTAGTCAAAGGCATGAATCATACCATGGTGAATGCGGGTGTAAGGAACATCCAGCAGATTTTCAGGTAGGGGTTTGGGCGCCAGTTCAACATCTTCTGGAAATCATCATAGAATTTGTCGGCTCCTATGCACAGAGAACAAGGGAGAGAATTCAGGTGGGAAACATTCGATTTTTATGTGTGTGTGTTCTTATACATAAGTACACTAACAGTTTCAGATTGTTTCTCCATCAAATGAGAGCAGACTTCTGTTTTCGTTTGTACAATCCATCAGAATTACAGAGCAAACATCTGTTTAAGAGCAAAGCCCTTTCTTCAAGTGTAAGGGAGGTATGTGGCATGGTGTTTAAGAGGGTTTGTGAGTCTTGACCATAGGGGCAGGAGTTTGGAGCTATCAGGTTAAAAGTTGTGGTCTTGGGCAAATCACCTCACCCCTGTGTGCCTCTCAATGGATTTGATGAAAGTTTACTAGCCACAAGAGCAGGGACAATGGCAACGAGAGTGTATTTTTGAAAAATCCCTCCATCACAATGGTCCAGAATTATTGAACCAAATGGACTGGCTTCCTTATGATGCGTCTTCTTTTCCCCCTTCCAACAATGCCTGGGAAATGCCGTATGACATTAGCCTAACTCATTTTCTTGCTGCGCAGCCAACTGCACTTTTCCCCACAGACGAACAATTTTCTCCAATGTTATACTTACCATACACCCAGCCGATTACCACAGACTCAAAGAAAGCCACCCAGAGCAGAGCAAACCCACTGGCCGCATAGTTGTCAAACAGCTGGAAAAGGTACATACCACCCTGGGGAATTAGCAAAGGATACAGAGAAAAAGACTGGTCAAATGAGGCAGTTGAAGCACTCTGAATGTGACCTTGTCTATTAATAATGATAATGATACCAAAGCATTTATAAGGCGCACAGTATCTCACAGGATCTGCAGTTTATAGGCACTGATATAATCCCTGCACATAGGGTTCACATCATCCCAACAGTTCAGTAGAACTGTTGATCATCTTTGAAGTTCTAATACAGGCATGCTTTTTCAATTTTCCGATTACGGATTTTTGTCTAAAAGAGGGAAACTTCTGAAGACAAAGTATGTTCAAGTTCATTTGAGGCCCTTTTTTTTAACGGTTTTTGTTCAAGTCAGAAGATTGGAATAGTGGGGGAAGTCAGAGAGAGACAAGAATTCATACAAAGTTCATCTAATCTCAAATCAGGTAACTGTCAGGATCAAGGCAAGTGCAGTTTTGCCCTGAAATGGAAACCATCAAAACTGCAAAAATATTCATTCAAGTTGTTTCCTGAAGGAGTTACACTTTACTCAAGAATGATGTGCTATGTACAAATGCGTTGCCAAGCCCATGTCTGAAGCCGTGGCTTTTAATTTGAGATCACAGAAACTGTCTGAATTTGAAAGATTGCTTTTATGTTGTTCTAACAATACTGACCTTGACTTCTGACTGAAACTAAAAGGCTTCCAGATAATACCTAGACCAACCCACACACCAAGTTAGAAGTTAATCTGCCAAGCCTGCTTGAGTTATGGTATGAAAACCATTTCTACTGTTTAAACTGTACTGACCTTTGACCTTCAACCTATAGAGCCCAAACTCATCAGCAACAACCCACATGCTACCAGATGTGAAGTTTTACAAGTTCAGTCTGTCTCAAGTTCATATGGGAAAACCAGTTCTATTGTTGTAAACATAATGATCTGGACTTGCTTGGTCAAAAATCAATCAGCTGCTAAAGGACACTGAGACCAACCAACATACTACCAAGTTTAATGTCGATATGTTGAATCTTCAAGTTACAATGGAAAAGCTGCTCAATGCCACATGGACGGACACACATATGTTCACGTTATCTCTAGTGTGGACATTTCTTTGTTTTCAAGTACTTAAGATAATTCAAACAAAATAATGATTTGTCTTGCAAAGGACACACTCTAAGCCCTTTGTAATTCTCTTTTAAACTGGATTTTTGTTGATGGTTTCCATGACTATTCCTCTTCTTTTTGCTAAAAAACCCCAAAATGTCCATAATGCTATTTCACAGAAAGGGGGTCACCTGGGAAGGACCTGGCTTATTCCACACAACTTGTATTATGTAAACCCTCTTTTGTTCACCGGGCAACACTAGGTATGTCAGGTTGTCACACACACACACGAAAGAACAATGGAGGCGCGGTAAAGGGGCCATCAGGACAAATGGCTGAAATACAACATTCTCTTGCCTCAAGGACTGAGGTGACTCATGTGACAAGCTCTGACTGGATCACTTACGTAACACGTCATTGGAATGCCCGCCAGGAACAGAACACTGCACATTGCCAACACAAACAGGGGACGTCGCTTGCCCTTCCGGAGACTGGGGAAGGAGTCTACAATGGCGGTCGCCAGGCCTTCCACGCCCACAAACTGCATTTGGGCAAAGACACATGAGCTATTTTAGCAGGGGGGAAAACAACAGCACTACAGTTGTGGTGTCTGGAAACTCATAGCTTTCTGCTCACCAAGGAAGAACACACAGGACTTTATTGGCCCACAAAATTAGAACAGACTTATGAGAGCGATTGAATAAGGTCACAAAGGTCATCAGCTCAGCTATTTGTTTGTTCTTCCTCAAGTTGAAACCTATGAGGTTGCAGAGTTACCGGCTGCAGTTCAGCACACATTAATGACTATGAAAGCTCTAACTTTGCAGCCTGTGACCTGTTCCGTTACATCAGACAGCATTGCTTGATTTGACTTCAGATGTTGTCTTCAGCAGACAAAATAGTTCTCAGAATTTTTAACCTTTCGTCGGTCTCACTGTTGACAAACAATGTGATATTTCATTGTCATTTAGTCACATTTCACAATTTCATTTAAAAATGTCTCAATATTTTCTTGAAATATTCTCCACACATCAAATAAAAGTGACATCTTGACCTACAATTTCAAAACGGCAATTTCATACCTTACATTTCAACATGTTATCCTTAAATTGCAAATTCTTCAGTTCCATAATACTTGTGGCTCTCCATTTGTCTGATGTTAACAGAGCAGGTCACTATCAAATAAACTCATAAAGTGCTCAGCAGGAATGATATTATGTACAAATATACGAAGACAACATCAAATGCCTCCCAAAAAAATGAAGAAAGAGAGAAAAAACAAGTTTTCCAGGTAAGCAATTTAGATTATCTTGGCCAAGGATGAATAAAATTTGAGATGAAAATATGAAACTAAAAACTTGAGAAATGTAACGCATTTTGATATGAAAAATGGAAGAAGTTTTTTTGAGAGCCAAGCTGAGAAAAATCTGGTTCATGAGTATCATCCCTGCATGGCACATTAATTGCTCAGCATTTTTCATGCAGCAGATTTTTTTCAAACAACTGGGCCAGAAAATGGCCTCTGATTTAAAAGCCACTAAGTGAAGAATCTATCGTTCAGTTCAGATTCTTTATAAAATTAAAGACAGAAATCAATCTATCCATACTTACCATGTAAAAAAAACCTGATTTTCAATTCACGAGTAATTCAATTTTCTACTTTATTTCCTATTGTTTATCCCAAGTACAGAGAAAAAAAAAGGTGGACTGATCATGACAACAAATCACATGACCACCATCATGTGATCTCTGCCACAGCACTTCCGCTGCTTGCAGGCCATGAGTCGTCTCCATTGCCAACTCTCCAGTTCAAGTTGGGAGGGGGGGAGATAAGACACTGTAATAAAGCGTTAGTGACTACGTGCTAGGGTTAAGTTATTGTTGAACAATGAATCAGACCAGGACAGATTACTGTGAGTTTTTAAGTGCAGGAGTGTCTCTTGGTTTAGGTTATCAAGCAATCAACAGGTATTAGTACAATGCGTCAACACTGGGGTATACTGAACTCAGTGTAGTAGTTGTAGAATGGTGTGTAAAGCATCAGGTGAAGGTTTGCTTAGTTTGGTCCAACAATGGGCAGCCCATGCTAATTTTTAAGGATGCAAAACCATGGAGTTTCAACTGTGAACTTGCTGCTGCAAATTAATTAAAAACCTGGTCAATCCTCAAGGTACCTGTCAAGTAGGATGAAAACAATATGGAGTGTCACACAATTCAAACTGATTATTCACAACATCATGCAATTCAGCCCAAATTGGCTGATATGTGAATAGAATAAACCTTAATAATAAGAATAATAATAATAGTAATGTTTTTTTATCGTGACAAATGAATACTTCATAAATGGTCCACCATTTATACCAGACAATGAACATGTACACAAAATCACGACTGCACCTAAAAGCTACGTTTAAATGCTACTCCTAAGTGGGTTTGAGTGTGAATGAAAATGGCTTCAAATGTGTTTGACTTTTTGCCACTTCGCAGTACCAATATTTGATCTGATGTGTCAAATTCACATTTGTGTTTTAACGGGCCTTTAGACAATCAGTGGAGAGATGAATACACAAACAGTAGTAAAACGGATGAATAAAGAGACAAGCCTATGTTGCAACTACAGCGCCTACAGCATGCATGCAGGAATAATGTGTAGAGACGGTAGTCTTTCTAGGAGGGGTACGAGGGACACATGCTACTCTCATGCATGCATTGAGACAGTCAGCAGGAAGGGTGACAACCTAGCAACACAAGACAATATATTTAGGGCACAGGAGAAGCAAGATTGAAACAGAAAAAAAGGGTCACGTCATGGGTTAGCTGGTGGTGCAAATTTTCCATCTTCAAAAAGAACTTCAGAAAGAAATGTAGAAAGTAAAATGAAACAACATAAACATTTTGCTACTGCATCTAATGAAAGGAGCGTGATGATTCAACATTTTCCTTGGTGGTCGCCGTGGTAACAAACAGGGAAGTTTGAGATGAGCCAATGCCACTCACACTTGTCAGCACACTAGAGTCGGCAACAAGGCTACATTCCTATCCGATCCATCTCTTTGATGGGTACGTGACCATTAGCACAGCTAACCACTGCAAGACCTGTTTTCCTGGCCTCAATGTTCTGGTAATTAGCTTTTTAAGACAATCGCTCTGGCAATGACCAAACATCCAATGACTGGCACAAATTCCTTCACTTGGGAGTGGCTCCCCACATCCCACTGATTTCAGCCTTAATGGTGCCAGGAACTCGCTGCTGGTGCTCCAAATAACAAGTCACGTTCTGAGCTCAGGGCATTGTTGCTGAAAAAAACTTATATTTTCTTTTAAGAATGAAATGATAAAATGAACAACAATCTGTACAACACATGCTTACGAATGCTCAAGCAGCAAAGGATAAATTGCAATGAAAAGCAATGACGTTCACATGATAACATAGCAAAATTCATTATTCTGTCAAAAATATGATGGAACTTTAAAGTCAGAGTTAAACTATGAAGGCTTTCCACACCAATGTTCTGGATGTAAAATAAAGCATGATGCAACTTTTGTTTCAAAAGCGAAAATGAAACAAACTACACTTGAGGAACAACCAGCTCCAAAATTTAAACAAGCGAATTCAACACATAAATTTCAGCTTCCTGTCTTGAACGACAACATTCAAAAGAAGAGGAAGGCTTGCTACAGAGGGCCATGTGGCCTCCTTGTTATATGTGGCTTTATGGTTCAGGTTTACAACTTCTGTTCATCGGGTCGCGGGGACAAATGCAGCGGTGGTTACATGCTGTAACCTTGGGCGGGTCACATTTATCCCCCTTTGCCTCTCTCGACCCTTATCTGTGGGATAGAATCCAGAACAATCTCGAGCTGGTAAAGAAAAGTTTGCGAACCATTACACACCTGCTGAGAAACATTTTACTGCAGGTATTTTTTTCTGTAAGGTCTATCCAATCACAATAACAAGGGCTGTGCTTAGTACGTTAAAATGAACGGTTTTGGGGCCTGACTCAAATACGATCCCATGTGGATTCAGGCCCCCATGGGTGCCAACTTGCTTAAGTTCCTTGACCAAGACACTTGACTACAAACTACAATTGTCTCTATCTACCCAGGAATATAAAGGGGTAGAGAACAGATTGCAAAGATTCTTGTGCTGATGTGGGAAACTGACCTCTTGGCCCAGTGACCAGGGATGATAACAATTTCAGCACTCTGAAACTCAAGATGCTACATAAATATGGTGGTTGTTACTTCACAACTACTAGATACTACAGACCGGACTAATTACCAACTACATGTAGGAAAGAGAACTACTTCATAACAGTAACTGATCAGCCACTTTTGGGGAAAAATGCCAGCATATCTGGAATCTCCACATGCGGTAATGGGTGTGTGAAAAGAGCAATTTCTGTATCCACTTCCTCTGAGGATATTTAGTATTCAGTGGCAGATCCAGAAGGTTTTACGGAGGGCAGGAGGGCCCATTTTTACCATCCCAGTGAAAATTCTATCACACAATCAATATATAACCAGTCAAGAGCACAAGAAATGCAATGAAGATAACATATTCCCCCTCCCCAAAAACTGAGAAGGCAAAAGGTTTAATCAGGAATTCTACTGCACTATTTCTAATCTAAAATTTGCAACGGCTGAATGGAAACCGCTCTATCAGGACGCTGAGAAAGAGACAAAATCAGGTTTTTGGAGTCTCAACACAGCTTGTCCCATCACACAGTGGGTCAGAAAAGTGGGACAGTGGGTGAAGAATTTGAACACAGTGCAAGTAGGGTGTTCTGGACTACTGAGTGGTTGCCACAACCAACTTAATACCTGCTCTTTGGATGGTCTATTTGCTGGGAAAAATGACACTCATTACTGAGGGAACTAAGGGAAGCGATAAAATGTGAAATTAATGTAATACCATGAATACACATCAATTCATGAATATGCATGATTCACTTCAGAAGACAGCTCACGTGGTCTCCAGCACCTGCCATGAACTGCTTTTCCATTATAAGGGTGCACAGTGGCAAAGAACAGATGTGGGCCGATGGCTTAAAAAGCCAAATGCCACACTTCCTGAGGTTCATTAATAGAGATGAATGTGGATTCACTTGTCTCTACTGAGTCCTAATCATGTATTATTGTCAGTGAGGAACAGGTAAGGTTTATTTCCAACAACTCTATGTCTCTGAAGCTTCTAAACTGGTGTATAAATTCTCATGGGCAGTTTTGAGAAAAACTCGTCAGGCTAGATATTTCATACGTTATCAAACATTATCAAGTCAACATATTCCCTTGAATGCTTCCGGACTATATGACACTGACCATGGGAAACAGATGAAAATACATCTTTTTCATTAATGGTATTACTCAATTAGGTGTGAAATTGAAGGAAATCATTTGTGGAGATTAAGCATGTGTAAAACTAGCATTTGCAACAGTCTGTACATTGAACCGCAAATGTTAGGCTGAGGTTAATTTTGGTATGAAAAAGGGTGACCGTTTAGCAGTGTCGACGTTACACTAGGATGTTGCGGGTTTTTT